TGGACCCCCTGGCGACACCCGCTCAACGGGGGCGACCCACCAATGTCGATCCACAAAACAAGGAGTTGTCGCTTCGGCACTTTTCGGTCGGACAACGTAGGTGGAACCACGGATTCGGAAGGCGACTAAAGCAGGCTGGACTTCGGCCCGCCCCCGACAGAGGAGAGCGCTCTGACTCTTGACATCGGAAGGCGCCTGGAGTAAATATAAAATCTGATGCCAACAAACTATTCCAGCGACCGAAGGCCGAAGTCAAAATCTGGCACAAGGGGGAGCATGAGGACACAAGTCGCCCAGAAAACGCCAAGCGACACCCAAATATGCTGCCCACGGAGGGCACCGCGACGCGGGAGAGACGTGCCGAAGAGACCAGAACAAAGGGATGCCAAGGCCCGCCCTATGCGGCTCGCGCCTATCCGCATTACCTCATCCTCGACCGGCTTGGGTGCCTCATGGGCCGTCTTGGACGCCCCAAAGGCAAACACGCCAAACGTAGAAGTTTTTCCTATCGGAAATGGACTATATTTGCTTATTGGGCCACTCTCGGGGTGCCTCTCGGGGCGTCTTCGGAGCCTCTTCGAATGCTTTTTCGGGTCTCATGGGGGGCCTCTTGGGGCTGCTGGGCCCCTTCTTGGAGCCTCTTGGGGTCTCCACGCAAAGGGGCCACCGCCACCGAGAACCCATCGGGGGGGGCGGTGGCGCGCCCGGGCGTCGTGCGGCGGCCCCGGACGACGCCCGGGCGCGCTGCCGCCCAGGGGCCGCCCGCCCCCACCCCCTGGGGCGAGGGGCTCCCCGTGGTCCCTGCTGCTGCGCTGCATGGGGGCCCCCCGAGGCGGAGGCAGAGGAGTAGGAGGAGGAGGAGGAGGAGGAGGAGGAGGAGGAGGAGGAGGAGGAGGAGAGGGGAGGAGGTAGGGAGGGAGGCGGAGGAGGAGGAGGAGGGGAGGAGGAGGAGGAGGAGGAGGAGGATGGAGGAGGAGGAGATGGAGGAGGAGGAGGAGGAGGAGGAGGAGGAGGAGGAGGATGGAGGAGGAGGAGGAGGGAGGAGGAGGAGGAGGAGGAGGAGGAGGAGAGGAGCGAGATGGAGGAGGAGGAGGAGGAGGAGGGGAGGAGGGAGGAGGTGAGGAGGAGGAGGAGGAGGGAGGACACACGAGGGTCAGGAGGCTGCCACCCCCCCCCCCCCCCAAGGAGCGAGGCACGGGCGGCGGCCTCCGCCCCGCGTCGGCCGCCCTCCCCCCTCGGGCCACCTCGCGGGGGGGGGCCTCCGCCCGAGAGGCCCCGCGCGGAGAGGTGGGGTCGGGAGCTCCAGCCTACCTGCTCTCGAAGCCTACCTGCTCTCGAAGCTGCGTCGGCCTCGGCCCCGCGTCGGCCGCCCTCCCCCCTCGGGCCCCCTCGCGGGCGGGCCTCTGCCCGAGAGGCCCCGCGCGGAGAGGTGGGGTCGGGAGCTCCAGCCGTTGCTCCAGACTTCGTAATAAAAGGGAGGGGGTCTCAACCCTCCCAGGCGAGAAGTTTCAGACCCCCCCCCCTCCCGTGGGAGAACCCTCCAAAACATCGTCCCCAGGCCCCCCCAGGCCCGCCAAGATAGCCTGGAAGAGACCCCCTCCCGAAATGAGACCTCCCTCCCTTTATACGAAATCTGGAGTACCTGCTCTCGAGGCTGCGAACTTGTTCTGCCCACGTCGGGTGTCGGGGAGCATCCGCCCCTGGTTGCCATCACGACCCAGGGGGGGGGACCCCAGGGCTCCCAAGGCGGCCTGGGAGCTGGCAGCACTCCCGAGACTCGGCGTGAGACATCGAGACGTGGAGGGGAACACCCGATCGCAGATGCCAGCCCAATATGTGCTGAGTCAGCCCTCGTGACAGGCCGATGCGTCAGGGTCCCTGGCCCGAGAAGGAGCCCAAACACCCCGCTGCGGCTTCCTTGGGAGACCTGGGTGTCTGGGACTCTCGGCCAGGAGCACTTCTGTCAGCACCCGAGGCTGGGAGGTATCGAAATAGAGACTGTACCGGACGCGTGAGCCAAAACGGCTTCGCGGCACGCTGCGGGAACAGTGAACCGAGAGAAGAAGTGAGGACGACGAGGAGAGAGGATGTAACGAGCGATGGAGAGGCGCCTGCAAGTTGCCCGAGCACGTCCTGTTACGGAGGAGAGAGGAGGGAGGAGGGAGAGGGAAGAGGGAGGAGGGAGGAGGAGCAGGCATAGGACGACAAGGTGGTCTCCTCCTCCTCCTCCTGGAGTTGTGTGGGGGGTCCTTGAGGCCTGGAGGGATGGTGCATAGAGTTCAGGAGGGAAGGTCTCGAGACATGGACGCGGCGGTCCTCGAATCGTAGATTCGGGGGGGTCCTCGAAACCTGCCAGGGAGTACGACTATTATACGAGCGCCCACCTCGCAACGGAGGGGCAGGGGCGGGACCATGAGAACATGATGAAGGGGGAGCGCGAGCCCCGCGGGCCACGTGAACCCTGCAAGCCCCATGAGTCCAATGAGACGCATGAGCCCTACGACCCCTTAATGCAGGATGACGATTAATAAAAAATGGGAGAGAACGATTAAAACATAGTTTTCTGCTATGTCTGCACCATTTTCTGACTGGAGGAGAACGATTAAAAGAAATAGTTCTCCAGCCCGCGGCCGGTTTTTTCTGATCGTCATCCCGGGCGCCGCCGCGTGAACACGACCCCCGGTCATTTATCAATCGTCATCCTCCATTATGTGCCCTACGAGCCCTGGGAATCACATGAGTCCAGAGAGCCATAAGGACCGCAGCGGCACTGCCGCAGCGGCGGCGGAGCAGCAGCGGCACCCCCGCCTGCGCACGCGCGGCGGGCGCCGCCCCGCCCGCGCGCGGGCCGCCGCCGCCGCCGCCGCGCCGCCGCCGGGCTCGGGCGGCGCGCGCCCTCGACGCCGCGCCGCTGCGGGGCCGCGCTGGCGGCGCTCGCGGCCGGGGCCGCCGGGAGCGGTGGGGGCGCGGCTCCTCGCGGGAGGAGGAGGGGGAGGAGGAGGAGGAGGAGGGGGAGGAGGAGGAGGAGGAGGAGGAGGAGGAGGAGGAGGAGGAGGAGGAGGAGGAGGAGGAGGAGGAGAGGAGGAGGAGGAGGGAGGAGGGACGAGGGAGGAGGGAGGGGGGGAGGGAGGAGGGAGGAGGGAGGAGGGAGGAGGAGGCCACGGCGTGCACTCCTCGTGCTGCCACGGGGAGCGCCGGGCAGGGAGCGGAGGGGGCTCCTTCTGGGCCACGGCGGGCCTTGGCCACGAAGAGGCTCTCCCCGCCCGCAGGTCTCAGCGGCCCGACAGGCCGAGCCCATGCTCAAGCCAGAAGTGATCCTTGTCTCAGCGTCTTAGGAGGAGGGGGAGGAGGAGGAGGAGGAGGAGGAGGAGGAGGAGGAGGAGGAGGAGGAGGAGGAGGAGGAGGGAGGAGGAGGAGGAGGAGGAGGGGGAGGAGGGGAGGGGGAGGGGGAGGGGGAGTGGGAGGAGGAGGAGGAGGAGGAGGAGGAGGAGGAGGAGTGAGGAGGAGGAGGAGGAGGAGGAGGAGGAGGAGGGGGAGGGGGAGGGGGAGGAGGAGGAGGATTGGCTGTGGCCCTGCCAACGGGGCTCGTACTTCTGGGGTCAGAGTTGGAGCTCACGTCCGCTGTTGCTTGGCCGCGCTCCCAAAAAAGATGCGGAGGGGAGCCGGATCACTGGAGGCCCCCCCTGGCGGAAGCCACAGGGGGGGGGGAAAGCTCGTGGGAGGGGAGCGTCGAGCTTGAATCGGCAAGATCTGATCCCAAGCTCCAGGCCCACGGGCCCTCCCCCCCCGCCCCCGATGGGATGGGTCTCAGGGTCCCTCGGACGCCCCCCCCCTCCCCAGATGGGATGGGGGCGACGACGACGACGACGACGACGACGACCACGACCACGACGACGACGTCCACGACGACGACGACGATGACGACCACGATGACGACGACCACGACCACGACGACGACGACGACCACGACGACGACGACCACGACGACGACGGCGACGGCGACGACGACGACGACGACGACCACGACCACGATGACGACGACGACGACGACGACGACGACGACGACGACGACCACGACGACGACGACGACGACGACCACGACCACGACAACGACGACGACGACGACGACCACGACCACGACCACGACGACGACGGAGACACCGTCCGCTCCGGCTCCCTGAAGCCACGCCACGCCCAGAGGGGAGACGACGACAGGAAGACATCGTCGACGATGATGTTGCTTCTCCTCCTCCCTCCGTCCCTCTCCTCGTCCCTCCCTCCGCGTTCCTTGGCCCTCTCTTCCCTACCTCGCTCCCTTATCTCACTTCCTCTCCTCCTCCTCCTCCTCCTCCTCCTCCTCCTCCTCCTCCTCCTGGATCGGGGGGGAGGGCCGGATCCCATACCCACCACCGCACGCCCACAAGGGAACACCCTACCACGCCACGCCCATAGAGGGGGGGGGGGAATTGCGCGAGGGGGGGGGGTCCAAACCCTGGATCATATCGCCAATCAATGGGCGACAGGCCCTCGGTTGCGAAAGCGTGCGTGCTTGTGTGTGTGTGGGGTGGGCCATCGCGCCCCTATCGGCGATGAATGGGCGATTGAGAGTCGATGCGTCCCCCCTCGGCCGATCCCCCCTCAATGATCCTCGTCGTCTGGTTCCACAATTGTGGTCTCGGGTGGCCCTCTGGGACGATCCAGGCACCCGCAGAAACCTATCGGCGAGGCGCAGCCGCTGGAACGCACCCTGAGGCTGAAACACGCGACGAACCAACGAGAACGCCCGAAAACTTCGAACCTCCAGACTATCTCCACGTACCGTTACCCGTGAAGATGGAGGAGCCTCCATGATTCGAGTAGGGGATCGACTACAGAATTGATTTACCCCAGAAAAGATGTTTCTAGTCGATTCCAGGGAGAATTTTGAAACCTTCGCAGATCTACGACCATTTTACGTATCTTTGTTAAAGATTCGACGTGGCAGCCATTCTGGGGTACATCAATTCTGTAGTCGATTTCCTACTCGAATGCTGCCCCCCTGAGCCCACCCCCCGCTAATGTTGCCCTGGCTTTCGGGCCACAACTCGGGCCTCTGGCGACCGTTCGGAGCTCATTCCGGCAACCCCTGGCATGCTCTCGACGAGGCGCACCCCTTGGAAACAACCCCGGGCCTCGACAGCGTTCGACAACTCCCGAAATCACTGTGGAAAACGGCCCGCCCTGACGCCTGACGGTGCCACGCGACACGCGCAGCAGTCGTTCCCGACCGTGCGACTGCGACCCTTGGTTTAAGTCGGGCCTGTCCCCCTACAGGGGCATTTTCGGCGGAAAATTATAAATACTCAAAAACAACTCCCCGAATGCTCGCACACAGTCCAAAAATAGTCCCCAGACTATTTCTGGACTATTTTTGAGTATCCCTCCTGTAGAGGGACAGGCCCGACTTAACCCTTGGTCCTCGATGCCTCCTCCCTCTCGGCCCCCCCGCGCTCCTCTCAGCGCCTCGGGGCGCTGCCCGCGCCGCTGCCGCGGCTGGCGCCACTGACGCGGACCGCCGCGGCCCGCTGCCCCGCGGGCGCGGCCACGGCACCGCCTGCCGCGGGGAGCCGACCAGCCATAACTGGGGGACCCCCCTGGGGGAACCCATCGCATCGACGATCTCTCGAGAGGGGTGTCGAAATCGCTGGGTCCCCCAGGGGGATAAGGACCACAGCTCCCCTAGTTGTGGCTGGCGCCACGGAGGCCCCTCCTCCTGCTCCTCCTCCTCCTTCTCCTCCTCCTCCTCCTCCTCGTCTCGCTCGGCATCCTCGTGTGACTTCCGGGCGAAGTGGGCCACGTTGCTTAGACTCCGGCAAAACCTTCGCCATATCGGCTGGACCTGATGTTCCTCGGCCACTTGCCCGCACGTGGGAATACCCCCCCGAGATCGGACCAACACCATTGCGATACCCATACTTGTTGAGAAGCAAGAGAACGTCAGAAACAACCAAATTCGCTGGCCCAACGGGCCAGAGGCGTGCTAGGATCTCTGGAAACAGGTTAACAATATTTCTAATTCGCGCGCGCGTGGCGGTCCCTGGGGACTCCTGGACGAAAAAAACCCGGCCGATGCCCGGGCGATGCCCGGCTGACTCCCCCAGGGCGCTCCAGGAGCACGCCAAGAGGGCGCCGGGACGCCCCCGTATACACGGCCCAAGAGGCCCCGAGTCGCCGAAAGATAGTTCCAAGACGCTCAACATGGTCTCCAGATGGCCCGAGACACCCACGATGACTTCCAGACGGCCCACGACGCGTACAAGACCCCCGAAGAGGCCACAAAGAGGCCTCCCAAGGGAGTCCCAAGAGGGCCCCGAGAGGCCAACATCGTCAGTTTTACGTTTGGAAGATCTTGGCCTTCTCGCCTTTTCGGCTTTCCAGCGCTCTAAGACGGCCCAAGAGGCCCCCGAGACTGCCCCAAGACGGCCCAAGAAGCCTCCAAGAGGGCTCCAAGACGGCCCAAGATGGCCCCAAGACAGCCGAAGTGGCGCCCAAGATGGCCCAAGCGGGCTCAAAACGGCCCCAAGAGGGGTCCAAGACCGGGACCAGGAACGGAAAAGTCGAGCCTTCAGCCCCAAGAAGCCCCCCGGAGGCCCCAAGAGAGGCCTGAAGGGGCCCCCAAGAGGCACCCCAAGAAGCCCAAAAGGCCCCCAAGAGGCCCCAACCTCGGCCCCCGAGAGGCCTCAGAACTGCCTCCCCGAGGCCCCCAAGAGGCGATAACATAACACGGAATACCAGAGTGCCGCACAAACCGA